TGGCTAAAGGTAGAGAACACAAAAGAGAATAACGTGAAATGTTTAGAAAAGTAGGCTAAAGTCAGATCATAAAGGGCTTTAAGCTCTAGGGAAAGTTTATCCTATGGGAGATAAGGAGCAACTAATGTTTCTTGAGCAGGGAAGGAACATGGTCAGATCCATTGTTGTAAGATCGATACTTGTTTTACTCTTTCAGCGGCCACACTGAGGATGGTGGGGTAGAGGGCCATTGCTGAGAAGGAGCAGCCAACCTTCTTAGGTCTCATTCATCACCCACATACCAGGTGGCCCATGCATGTAGGCTGGGCTGGTTCTTTAAGGGCAAGGCCATTTGGCTTTTTTGCCACCTGAAGCCTAACCAAAAGGGAGTTGGTATCAGAGATTTTATTTAAGCTCTATCTCACATGGAATGTCTTCCTGGCCAGCTATGTATTGACTGTGGAGGTAAACAAGAGCAGCATTTTACATCTGTTTTAACTTTAGAAGTTTTTATTGCATTTCATGGAACATAAATCCCTCATTGTATTTTAACCTCAAGCCCAAATCATTGGACTGGCCTGGGTTAGGCCTGTCCTAGAATACAGTACCTGTGCTTTAGAAAGATAATACTGGCAGCTGCATGAATGAAGTATTGGAGGAGGGAGAAACTAAAAGTTGGAAATTCAGTTAGGAGGCTATTTAAATAGATGAGGCAAGAGATGAATGCCTCAAGTAGTTGTGTGAATGGAGATGAAGAAGAGAAGGATGGATGAGAAAGATATTGTGGAAGAAGAACTGATAAGACTTTGCCATTAATTGGATATGAGGGGAAGAGAGGTTGAAGGCAGTGCTAGGGTGACTCTAAGACTGCAAAGCTAGGTGACTAGAAGGATGGTTTTTCAATCAAAATAGGGGCATTTTGAAGAGAGATAGGTTTAATGTAAAATATGAGTTCTGTTTTGTACCTAAGATCAAAGATTTAGAGCTGAAAGGGAGCATAAAGGCTACTGAGTCTAACTCCCTTATTTTATAGTTGAGGAAACAGGCACAGAGAGATTAAATGACTTAATTTTTTTTGTTGTTTGCTTATTTTCTTTTTTTTTTGCTAGGCAATGGGGTTAAGTGACTTGCCCAGGGTCACACAGCTAGTAAGTGTCAAGTGTCTGAGGCTGGATTTGAACTCAGTGACCCCCAAGACTGGAGCTCTATCCACTGCGCCACCTAGCTGCCCCTAAATGACTTTCTTAGGGCCATACAACTAGTAAAGGTCTGAGGCAGGATTCAGACTCAGGACTTCATGACTCCAAGTTCTACACTCTACTATACCACCTAGTTGCCCCAAGTTAAGTTTGAAATGCCTCATGAGACATCCAAGTGGAAATGTACAGTAATATATTACTAAAACTCAGGAGAGAGAATAGGGTTGAATAAATACATTTAGGAGTTGTCTGCATATAGGTGAAAATATAATTCCTTGGCATTAATGACCTCATCAAAAGACAAGATATAGAGAAAAGAAAAGAAAGACCAGAACAGAGACTTGGGGGGACAGCCATGACTTGAGGGTAACATATGGATGGTGGCCCAGCTAAAGGGACAAAGAAGGATGTCATACAGCTAGGGAGATAACCATGAAAGGGCAGTGTCAAGAAAAGTGAAGAAGAGAATATATATATATATATATATATATATATATATATATATATATATGTATATGTGTGTGTTTATTTTTTCTTCCATAAAGAATGAAAACCCCTTGAGTACAGAAACACTTTCAATTTTATCTTTGTACCCTTAGTGCTTAGCTCAAAGTAGTTTCTTAATAAATGCTTGTTGCATGAATGGAAGCAAGGGAGACCTGGTAGGTCACGTCAGTGTTTTCTCTTAACTGTGCCAGTTGGTTCTTAGACTAACAACCCACAGTAGGGTTGAGCCAGGAAGAGGCAACCTGTCACTGAACCAGGCGAAGGCAAGTGTTTATAATCTATGTGTCTGAATTCCACGTTCGAATGTCAGTGATTTTTTACTGGTCACACTTTTTGGATGATCTATGCTTCTTTTCCTTTCTCTTTGTACAGATGATGGAGAACTGAGGGTATTTTGGGACATTAACCACAACCCAAGGGCTATTAGTAATAGTTAGGCAAAAAATTGGGTTTCTATAGGTGATTTCCCAGCCAGACATAACTATCTATGAGCCCTAATTCAATAGTACCTCAGACCTATTGGCAATTCTGGGGAGAAAAAAGCCCCTAAATTTCTGCTGCATTCTCATTTCTCAATGAGCCCCCTTTTCACTAGCTTGCCATTTAGTTTTCATTATTAGCCACAAGTGAAGACCTTTCCAAGTCCTAATCTTTTTCAACTGTCATTTCTGACTTTCAGTCTCTAAATTTCAGACTGACATTTTGAGGAGTTGTAAAACGTAAAAAACTTGTGGCAGAGATGAAACCCACTTTTCTCCAAATCACTAGAAAACCCTATTTTCAGACTCCAGAAAGAGGTGAAACTCACTATTCTGGCTACCATAAATTATTCATTTCCAAAATAAAATGTCCAGTTTATTCTTTCTAGTCCCCCAAGGAGTGTATGTGTGTTGGGGGGAGATTGGGTTAAGGGATACAAGATTTTCTTAATGAAGTAAAAGACCCTCATTGATGATTCTGCTTCACCTAATAACATTACTCTGACTGCCCATGAGTCAACACTGAACCCTCTGGCCTCTGGTCATCCATTATTTAAGAAAAACTCTGGTAATGGGCCATGGTATATGTATGGAACTTTTTTTTCCTCCCTGAAAATTAGGAGCAGATTCCTCCTATCAACTATGTCCTTGCTTTTGATACTTCCTTCATCAGACCACTCAGTTTAATTCTACTGTTATGGGAAGGCCTTAGAGCATGCTTATTCAGTACTTGGTTCCAATCCAACATGTGGAACTTTGGAGAGAATACTTCTGGCCATGAAAGAATCAGGAGTCCATACTATACGATATGAAGAGACTTTTAATTGGCTTAGGAGCTGGAAGGATTGATGGCTCATTAGAGGCACTGAATGTGTATCCAAAATGTTAGAGCAGAGTGGCTTTTGAGAGAGGAAGAACTGCTGTGAGCTACATAGTGAGGATAATGACTTTCTGTGACAGAAAGTTGACTTATGTACCCACTGAGCTGCCACATATCCCTGAATACGTGGTACTTGTTTATTTCATGTTTATTCCTTTCTGATCTTGGGTGAATGAGTGTATAGAGACAGAATTGACCAGGTTATGACCTTGTGAGCTTGGAAAGGTCAGAAGTGATATCACAGGTACCCTAAGTAAACTGAGTTGGTAGCAGACACCACCAGAATCAGTAATGCAGCAGTTGGGTGACCTGATTGACCCAGCTCATCAGATGAAACACTGCATCCTGTAAGGAGCCTGAACAAGGCAGTGACTCTCCCATTGACAACACCTGGCCCCAAACTAAACTTGGTAAAGACTGTGAGAAGGGAAAAACAGATTCCCGGGGCCAGTATTTCCCCTCGGCTTCACATTTTCTCTGTATATATGCATCAATAGCATGGTTCTTTAAATTCATGCCCATTCTTCAACCTCATGAACTCCACTCCTACAGACTTTGTATGCAAGGGGATGACAGTGCCTCCCTGGTTTGGGGAATGCTTTTTGTAACTTCTGTCTTTGCTATACCTTTTCAGAAAATACTCTTATAAAAGCTAATTGAAGTCAATTGGTTGATCAATACTGAGAGGAGTACACTGGATGGCATTTTGTGATCATATGAGAAATCATAACCCTTCAGGGTTACCTCTAGAACCCTAAGAAAAGCAATAACTGAGTCAGTTGCCCTCTAGGGGCCCAAACTGCCAGTGTGAGTTGGGGGATTTATTCAGCATCCTGCTAGACTTTGAGGATATAAGATTTAAAAATTATTTTTTCATCCTTCTCCACCTTTATCCTTTATGAATTATTTGTCACCTCACCCTCCACTGATGGCTCCCATTCATACTCCTTCAATAATTCCTTCCCCCTACCTCTTCCCCAGTCATCCAAAAGTGGAATGAGCTGTCTAGCAAGGGAATGAGCTCCCTCCCCTATCACTGAAGGTTTTCAAGCAGAGTCTGGACCATTTGTTAGAGATATTAGAAGGAGGCATTTCTGTTCAAATTGTTGGACAAGATGAAGAAGTATAGTGGAGGGAGATAATGCATCTCAAGTCATAGGACCCGTGTTCTGATGCAGCTATACTCATTACTGGTGAGATTTTAAATCACTTCAGCTCTCTGGTGAATTAGATTGTAAGCTCCTTGACAGCAGTGACTGGCTTTTGCCTCTCTGTATCCCTGTCACTTAGCACAGTGCCTGGCACATAGTAGGTACTTAATAAATGTTGCTTGATTGATGGGTTCTCAGTTTCCTCATCTGTAAAAGGAGGGAGTTGGATTAGATCTCTAAGGTCCCTTTCAGCTCTAAATACCATGCTTGAGACCTGGGAAACACTTAGCTTCAAAAGGCCAAGGCCTCCCACTGTATCTGGGGCCATCTCCAGTCCTCTTGATCTATATCTTGCCACTGGACACAGATGGCTCTGGAGGAGAGAGAGGCTGGTGACTTTGCACAGCCCTCCTTCATTTAAATCCAGTTCACTTGCAAGTCATAACATCACCTTCCCGATGTCATGGTCCTCTTCAAGAACAAGGACAAATAACAACAACTACGCTACCTCTGTGATTTCCCCAAATTTTTGAAAGTATGATTCTGTGACTCCTCAAAGCCGCCTCCCCACCTTGACAGCAGTACCACCCGCCCAGCTCAGCCAGTGTCCACCTTTCCTCGAACGTCTCATTGGTCACTCACTCTGTCCTATTTAGCCCTTCTCGCCAAGGCCCCGCCCCCAGCCCAGGTCTCCGGTGCGCTGGGCAGCCAATGCTGCGCCTGCGCTCTGGGGTGTGGAGGGCGGCCCCTTAGCAACTGATACCTCCGCAGCCCGAGCTCAAAGCGCTGCCCCCCCCCACCTCCATCCCATCCCGCCTATGCCCCTGACCCTTCTGCCCAGTGGCGGCCAAACATCAAGAGAGAGAGAAAAAACCAGGCCTCAACCTCGTTGCGGATTGGGCCGGCCCAAGGTGGCCAGGTGGGAAGATGAAGCAGGTGAGTGATGGAGGATGGAGTCACCTCCGCCCTAGGAAGTGAGAGTGATGGGAGGGGCCTCGAAGGTTTGGCTGGTGGTGGTGGGGGGTGTTGAAGGATGTTGTGAGGGGCAGGGGGTAGGGCTGGAAGGGGTTAGCGAGAGGAGTGAAGGGTTGGGAGGGGAGATGGAGGAAGGAGGAGGGACTAAAGGAAGAAGAAGGGGTAAGATGGGCTGGAAGAAAAGGGATGAGAGGTGCTGGAGCTGGGGTAGAAGAGAGGGATGGGAGGGGTAGGGGTGGGAGGAGAGAAAAGGGAGGACTGGAGGAAAAGGTAAAGGAAGGGCTCAGGCAGTGGGAGAAGGATGGGAGGGGCTGGGGTAGAGGGAAATGGGAGGGACTGAGACCATGCAGTAGCACAGTGCCTGGCACGTAGTAGGCATTTCACGTAATACATGCTTGTTGACCGACTGACTGACCATAAGGGAGGAAGATAAGTTAGGCTTGTGGTACAAATGCGATTGTTGTTCGTCCTTTTCTCAAAGAGGACCAATGACATCATGGAGAGGGGGATTAATTGAGGCTGGAAGTAGTGGTCTCAAATAGGTAAGGGCAGTTCATAGAGAAGTAGTCAGGGAGGGTGATGGGGCAGAGGGTTAAATAGGAAAGAAGAAACTGAACTCAAACAGTAAGGTGGGACAAGATAAGATCCTAACAGAATAAGCTTTCACTAGAAAGTGTCGTGTGTGTGTGTGTGTGTGTGTGTGTGTGTGTGTGTGTGTGTGCGCGTGCTCCTGCTATTGCTATACCTCCAACTTGAGACGGCATGGTAAAGTATTAGACTTAGAGTTAGGAAAGACCTGGCTTAGAATTCCACTTGACACTTACATGTAACCTCAGACAAGTCACTTCTCTGGGTCTCAGTTTCCTCATCTGTAGAATGAAAGGATTGAGCTCCATCACCTCTACTAAGGTCCCTTTCAGCTCTCAATCTATGATCTATGTATATGACCCTCTGTGATTTCTCTTCATTCCCTATGAGAGGCCAGAAGAAATTTAAGGCAATGTACAGTGTTTCTAGGGGATTACTAGAGTTATGGACTAATATGGTATGAGATAGATAATATGGTTCAGAAGAGTATAACATGTAGGATCAACAATTTAGAGATGGAAGGAATCTTAGAGGATATTTAGTCCAACTTCTTCATTTCACAATTGAGGAAAGAGGGCCAGAGAAGTTAAGGGACTTGCCCAAGGTCACACGCATGGCAGAGTCGGATTGATCTCAACTCTGAATCCAGTACTCTTTCAACTCATAGTAATGGCGTTATTGGTTTTGTTTTCTCCTAGTCCCTGGTGGATGACACAGAGGATGTGTCTCTTGATTTTGGAAATGAAGAGGAAATGGCATTGAGGAAAGCTAAAATCAGGTAAATTCAGATAGTCTTTCCTAGCCTAGGAAATTTTAGTTCTAGTCATATGGCGATGTTTGATTTGGGGAAAGTTTTTTGCCTTCCCTGCTCAATTTATGTAAAATGAGAATAGCAGGGTAGACATTATAAAGAGCAGATAAACCTTTATAAACCCCATTGCAATTTAGAGGGAAAATGAAAAGTACACTGAAGTAAGAGTTAGGTATCCCAGACTTTAGTCTGGAGTCATACATAAGCTAACTGTGTGACTTTGGGAAAATTATCTCACTTTTCTAGACACCAATTAAAATGAGTAGATGATTCCTATCATCCTGTCCAAGGTCTGAAATTTTGTCCCATGGCCAAAAATCGTACTTCTAACTCTAACTGGCCATATCAACAAATCAAAATGTCGATTAGGAGAACTAGGTTCTAGAGTATGAATAGCTCCAGTGGGAAAATAGCTACAAGAGAAATAAATCAAAGTGCCTACCGTAATAGGGGTGCTTCTTCTGGTATATCTTCTTATACAAGGGGCACAGTATAAAATAAACTAAGGAAAGGAAATAATGTTTGGTGATCATGCTATCTTCTCTTTTAGAAAGCCATTTGTTTTCCTGAAATAGAATTGAGTTTTATCAGAACCGGCAGGTTTTAGAGAACTTGCCTGGATTTTGACTTTGGGGAATAAATCATAGTCACTTTGTCCTTCTTAACCTTAAAAAAAAATCTGTTTAAAAATAAAGAAATGTAACAATGTAAGTAATTCCAACAGAGATCAGGTTATTTCATTTTAAGGAACATTCATGATTACCAAGGAAAATAACCCACAGAATCAAGGAACTAAACAAATTTCAGTTCTCCTTGATTAAAGCAGGAAATTACATATTATGAAATTAACTCCTTGCATCTCTTTTGGTTTAACTTCCCTTTTTATTAAGTTTACTTAACATGAAAAAAATTGTGGAAGCTAAGCCATCTGGAAGATGGGTAACTGTTAGATGTTGGGTACCTTCTGATGAGTCAGTGAAAGGTATACCAGGAGTACATTCCGTTCCCTCCCTTCTACCCCAAATCCACACACTACTTCATTTGTCCTATTCTCTAAATACAATTGTATCTGAATCTTTACCTCACGGTTTGACAGGTTTTAGAGGAGTGAATCAAGGGAGTTTCTTAATGAGAGTTAGGTAGGATTTCTTAAGGGATGTCTTCAAATAGGGGGGAAGGATCTTCATTCGAATCTAAGGAGTGGATTCTCCTTCAAATCATGGGGGTTAGAAGACCCAGCCAAGATTATAGCAGCCAGCTAGAATCATCCAACTTGTTCTTGCAGGCTTTCCGCTACTTGGATAGGTGGTTTACCACTTCTCTCTTGGGCCTTATTTTCCAAAAGGAGGAAACATTCCCATCTGACTTTTAGAAGTAAGAGAGCAAGACTTTTTTGTTGAGTGGGTAAACTTTTTTTCCTTTGGTATTTTTCACTCTTTCCTTCTTAGAAGGATTAAAGGTATTCTGCTTGGCTCCAGAGGGCAGAACTAGAACAAATGGATGGAAGTTACAAGGAACAAAAGCTTCTTTTGGCTCAGCAGACAAACTTCCTAACAGTTTATGGAGTGAAATGCTTTCTTTTGTGATTACTCGCCCACCATATAAGTGTTTAAACAGTAGCCATTTAATCATGTATAAATTTTCAGAGGCAAGGAGTTGGATAAATATTTATTGAATAGAGAATTGGGCTAGATAACCTCTGAGAATTCTTGAAGCTATAGGACCGAAGAATTCGAACTGTAAGAGACATTAGAGGACATCAGTTCCAACCCGCTGATTGTATAGAAATTGGAAATTTCCATAATTCATTTTATAGACCTATTAGAAATTTCCTTAATATGGAAATATGGAAATTCTACAAAATTCATTTTCTAGAAATTGAAGTCCAGGGACTTGCAGTGCTTTGCTTAAGGTCACCCAGGCAATAAATGGCAGTGCTGGCATTTGAACCCAGGTCCTCCAACTCCAAATCCCATATTACTTTCACTGTGGCTGCCTCTCTGATTTTGGTGTGGTTTTTATTTTTCTTCTCTCTTTTTGGTGTTGATTTGGCCCTACCCTTCAGCCACTTAGTGCCTGATGTAACTCTGTGGCTGCCCAACACTCCCCATAATAAAATTATGCCCAGACCCCCTCTCCTCCATATGTTTGATGTACCAAGAGTATCTCTCCACAAAAACTTCTATTCTTTCCCTGTTAGGAAGAATGCAATAAGATTAAACTAATTTTCACTCAAATATGAAAGACTGCTACCTTACAGGACATTTCTGAGTGGTAAGTGGGGCAGTGCTTGGGAAGGGAAAGACAAGTAACAGTTTGGGTGCTAGAAATGTTGAAGAGTATATGGATGCTGGTGGAGTCTAGTTGGTCTGAGCAAATACCCAGAAGTGAGAGCCAGCAAAGTTAGAGGAATTCATAGTCTATCAAGTCACAGCACCAGTGATTAGGACATGTGATATGAACCTGAAAACAGAGATGAAATGAATCTGGGGTAGAAAGTCTGAATGGAATCCTTGCCAGGTCAGGAACTGGAGTCAGGGCCCTGATTTCTTTTTTTTGTTTGTTTGTTTTTGTTTTTAGGCAATTGGGGTTAAGTGACTTGCCCAGGGTCACACAGCTAGTAAGTGTCAAGTGTTTGGTCTGAGGCCGGATTTGAACTCAGGTCCTCCTGACTTCAGGGCTGGTGCTCTATCCACTGTGCCACCTAGCTGCCCCACCCCCCCCCTTTTTTTTCTGGTGAGGCGATCAGGGTTAAGTGACTTGCCTAGGGTCACTCAGCTAGTGTGTGTCATATGTCTGAGACTGGATTTGAACTCAGGTTCTCCTGACTGCAGGGCCAGTGCTCTATCCATTGCACCACCTAGCTGCCCCAGGGCCCTGATTTCTAATCCAATAGTCTTTCTACTATAAGGTTCAATCCCAAATGGCTAGAAAGAAGAAAATAGCCAGAATTAAAGGGAGTAGGCCTTGTCTTTCCCCCTGAGAATGTTTTCGTATTAAAAGAAAATGTGTATTAAGCTCAGTGATTATTTTGTTGGTGATTTGAAAAGTTCATTTCGATTTAACATTTATGAAATGCTAATTTTGAATATATAGCATGATGTGAGAGGAAAATAGTTTATGGTCTAAAATGACAACTAAAACAGGGTTGTTTTCTACTGGATTGTAATCTCCTGGAAGATAAAGGCTTGTCTCACTTATCTCTGGTTTCTGTCTCTAGCACAGTGCTTTGCATTTAGTAGATATTTTGTAGGGTATATCATTTTAGGGTAGATCTTAGTTGCTTCGGCTTTTTGGAATATGTTATTCATTTCCCTTCTGTGCTTTCTAATGGATGTATTAATTCAGATCTCCTTTCCTTTATATTTGAAAGTCATTCTCCTGGTCAATTGCTAATTTATCATTGGAATTATTAAATTTTACCTCTATGCATCTTAGACTTTAAAGCATAATAGATTTTTTTTTTTTCCCGGAAGGGCTGTGTGGATTATTTTGATTGCTGCTTTATTTTCTGTATTCAAAAGGTCTGGGTAGGTTGGTTTTTTTTTTGGTTTGTTTTTTGATATGACTTCTTGCATTGTGATGATCAAGTTTTTTAGCTTGTCTTGTTCTTCTGGGAGGCTCTATGGTCCTAAAGGTATCTCTCTACATCCTGTCTTTGAGATCAATGACTTTTTCTCCTATAGAGATCGTGTGTTCTTTTAATATATTTGCCTTTTGATTTTCTCTCTCTCTATTTCTCTCTCTTTGTCTCTCTCTCTGTAGATTGTCCTTCACTGCAGTCTATTTGTTTTTACTAATCTTTTGTTTTCTTTTTCACTTCTTGGAGACTCACCACTATAGATTCACTTTTTTAAAAAAATTCTGCTAATTATTTCTGCTATGCAAGCCATAAATGCTTCCATTTTTTTTCAATAAACATTGAAGTGATAGGGAAGTTTTATTATAAGAAGTATCTGCATTTTATTTCTATTTTTGCAGAGTAATGATTGAAGCCTGATTTGTCTGCATATAGTAGGGATCGTTGATCTGTCAAAGAATAGTGTGATATCAGAATGGGCATGTGAAAGTAATGTGTCTTATCCATAATAACTAGAGAATATTTTTCTCTCTAATCATCAAATGTGATAACACCTGAGAATGTCAAATATATTAACATAATTGGTGCTACCTTATAATTAAGTCTTTTTTGGGAATTGGTCTTTCAAAAAAGTACTTGGAGGTACAGTTGTCCACGTAATAAACAAAAGGGTATTCTGTTTAACAGAGTTAAACAAATGCATCAAATGATTACAATTTGGTGGCTTTCAGAAAAGCTACTAATCAGGTTCAATGATGCACTGTTTGACAATTTCCCAAAAGATTGAGTTCTCTATCAAAGCTGCTACTCTTTCCTTGTCACTGATTTGTTCGTTTATATCTTCTTCTGTGAAATGGGTTCCTTCAAAAATTTATATTTCCAACTTATGTTTGAAAGATAAACTCCTCTGAAGTTTAACTTGTAAGCAAAGCCCAATAAGAGTGGCCAGAGAGCAATGAGGTGCTGTTTGTTAGGTGTGAACCTGATAATAACCAGATAATCTTCTTTTTGGATCTTTTTAACTCCCACACAACTTTTTGTTACCGCTTCCAGTACTTCTAAAATACTGGACTTCTCTGGGTCCCAGATGATTCTAACTAGATGGTACACCTATAGTGCTTTCTTTTCCATGACCTGGGTCTGCCAGGCAGCTCCCAGCTCAGAGCAGCCTGAAAGCCACAGGACTCTGCTTAACACCCAGGAAAACAACCAGGACACTGTCTCCATCCTCCCTTTCTACCATCCCTGGTGTTAGTCTCACCTGAGCACCATCTTCCTGCCACCTCAGTCACGATATTTCAGTTTCCTCATTTGTTCTTTTCTAACTTCACTCAAGATTCTAATTTCCTTCTTGAACCATTCTGGAACATTGTGCTGAGGTTTCATG